TAATCGCCTATAGTATCTCAGTGGTATCTTATGCAGAGTGACTGTAATCGTCCATAATTCTTCAGTAGCATCTTATGCAGAGCGACTATAGTCGCCCATAGTAGCGAAAGGGTTAATGAACGTGAGTTATGGTATTTCGACGAATGGCGAGTAAGTGATGATTTCGTCGTGTGGCGTGGATTCGGGAGACTTGTGAATCACTTGTCGGCGATGAGAATTAGAAATAGAGAAAAATTTGGAAAAGGTTTCGTGTGAAGTTGGATATTTAATGATATGAGTAAAGAATTCGAACTATAAAGGACTATAAAATTTTTTGAAGGCGTGAGTTAAAGTTGGAGGACTTGATTAATTGTTTTTTTATTCAGTTGCTTAATTAGATTTGGTTCTCTGAAATAATTTGATATAATTTGATATATTTTTCATTTATTACAATAGTACTTATTTATATTTTCAAATAAGTACTATGTCTATATCTAAATAATAATTTAATCAGACAGTATTTCAAAATGGCGATACGTTTTTACGTCATATGCGTGCAACGTAATCCGACTTAATAACAAAACACGCTTGCCGATCCTAAAATACAACGTTATCTCCCGATAACGTTCGATCATTCGACACTTATTACGCACAAATCCCGAACGAATTAAATTCATAATGAAAAAAAGGAAAGAAAGAACCATCCATTGAATCATCCTCATCGATATCTCATTCATTCTTCTTCTTATCTCACCGAAAAGCATCGCTCTTCAATAAATATCGATATCTGCGAAACCGTATCGAACGAATAAAACTGTTCGAGATGACAACAAAAAAAAAAAAAGAAAAAAACGAAAAACTAGGAGGAGAAGAAGGGTACATACTTGTGCGAATTCATTTTTATAACGCGCATCACGAGAACGACATGGCGCCGATTCGTCTTTCTCTCCTCTCCTTTTTTTTTTTTTAAACGCGCGATAATGGAGCTTTAAGATGCATCGCGATTCTGGAACAATAGGGAATCGCACTCCATCTCGCGTTAATATTGCCATTGTCCGCGAACGGTAGACGATGCACATCGGTCCTCGACGGCCTTTGACGCGCGTGAATAGGCCTCCCAGGTACAGGAACCGCTTTGTCGTCTCAATTATTCCGCGCCGAGACGCTGATATATTCCACGGGGAATCGCTCGGGGACGATATCCGCGGATATTCGCGGAGACCTCGTTCGCGATTTAATCGAAATCGACGATCAAGATTGATTCGTCGACGAGTTTCGTCATGCGTTGGTCTAGGAATTATGGATAGATAAGATTGGTGAATGATGTATGTGATATTTTTGAAAAGTGTAGAGATTTTATGTGAAGAGACGTAAAATATCCAAAGTAAAGTTCATATTGAAAGGGTGAAGATTGTAAGATTTTTATCTCGGTTCTATTTTTATATCCGATTATGGATAATTTGAATACATTAATTTGAATTTGGTGTGTACGTGACTTTTATTTTGAGAATCATCGATGATTGACTCTTGTATATTGTTCAAATTCAGTCTCGTGTATAAAATATTAATATATTTCCAGAAGAATCAATTCTCCAATTTTGCAATCTCGATCAATTTTTGTTATGTATAAATATAATATTAATAGCTTTTTATATACACAAATATTTTTTAATTCAAATTTCTTAACAAAAGCAATCAAATGAGATGAAACAAGTTATACATTGGTCAAATACTTAGCTATCAGAGTTGAGAATTAATCCGTTGAAAGAGTAACTAGTTAAAAATGTCGAGTATTATAATTATTCGCGATTATTATGATGTTTTGATACAATAAATTATCGAACTAACTTAACTTATCGAAGTAACTTTATTCCCAACTTTTAATTAAATTTTCCTCATCAGCTATAAACGATCAATATCTTTCTCGATTCCAGTCTTAATATTAATTACTCTTAATCTTTGAACTCGTGCTCTGAAAAAACTCGATCGAGCTCTTCTGAGATTCGATCAACGCGATCGAATATCGCATACCCGATCGATCGAACATTTGAGCAATTTTCAGCAGGGATACGAAGACGACGCTTGCCAAGGAATTCCTTCCCTCCCGTGCCAATTATCGCTAAGCCATTTCTGATGGCATTGAGTTCCGCTCCGACAGGAAAAACTCGCTCGATTATTTTTCGAACATCAGCGGAATCTATCGAAACATTTTCCTCTTTAGAATTTCTTCTCACTTCCGCCTCGAGTTTCCGCTCTTTCTCAAAGAAAGAAAGAAGAGAAGAAACGAGATTTCGTCCTTCTTTCTTTCGTCGTCCGTGGAATAATTGGAATAAAATTCATTTTTGGATATAATTCGAATAATGTAAATAACGAGAATTTAGAATTTTGAGAAAATTAACATTGTGTATGTTCGTTATTTTAGAAGAAATATCGGGTATGAATAATAATGATGATTATGAACTTCTTTTTTTGATGTTCGTTATGCTCGTGCGGCTCTGACGTCAGGAAAATGCAATTTTCATTCATTTATATATATAACAAACTCTAGTCTCGTTTAAAATACATGTATAAGCATTCTATATATGCATTATTCATATAAAACGAAAAAATTAATATCGATCGTTCGAGAGACGATAAATTTAACTTCGTTCCACTTTTATTAATATCCTCTTGCACGATCGAAGTCTTTTTATCACTTGAAAAGATATTCATGGCGGTATAAAAAATTGCTTTGTCATTAATTTCGTCTTGTATCAATCATCGTCTTGTAATGGTTATCGATTAATTTCAATTGTCAAATTTGCGATTCGTTTACCAGAAACTCGAGGGGAAAATGGTTGAAACGATGATCCTCTTGGAACACCAACCGCATCCAAATTTATCCCAAACTGGTATCGCCAAACACGAAAACCGATCGACCTTCGTCACTCTGTTTAATTAGCCCGAAATTAGACGCTTAGGGAGTGAATAGTATGCGGTAGGTAAGCTAGATTCGCCCTCTTGTGGCAAGAATTCTGGCTGGAAGATCGTTCACAAGTGTCCCTGGGGGGGACGTTCAAGGTTGGTAATCGTTGTCCTCGACGAAACTGCCCTACCACACGTTATCATCCATTATTCCTCCCTCTGGAGATTCCCAGAAATTTACTTTCACCCCTATTTTCGTTCTTTCCTGTCGTCGCGTCTTTGGCCATCATCGAAAAGATTGAAATCCACCAATTTTTGTCGAGAGATGTTTGTGACAAATACGATATAATGGTGTGTTTGATGTTCAGTTTGAAGATTGACGAGAATTTTTCTTCGAGAAAAGTAAACTATTCTATTATGGTTGAGAATGGTTGTGAAAAGACTCGACTTTTATGTTAATATTTGGGGAAGGAGGGGTATCCAATAGTATTTTAATTTGACACAAATTCCTCAATTTTGTTGTCAAAAAATATTACTATAATTTTCAAGATTGTTTCTTTTTTTTCTTTTGCTTCTTTTCCTCTAAAGCTATTTCTATGATAATTGTTCATGAAATTCAGATTCGTTCGTGACAACGACATTGAAAACGAATAATTTATAAGTAATTTCTGTACTCTACGCTCAAAGATTTTTTAGTTGACGTGCACAGAATTCACAGGTCAATTTTGATTGCCACGTAAATTAATTAACAAGGGGTGTTATTACGCGCACTAATTAGCGGTTACTAGAGCGGAATGCGTCTAAAATTTTGGTATTCTAATAATAGCGCGCGGTTAACAATTCTCAATCCGATATATCGTATATAACGAAAGCTTATTAACCGCACGGCGGTATATTCCAAGTTAATTCCAAATATTATCCATTCGAAGTGTCTGTTCAATCAAAACGCGTATAAATCGATGATTATATATAACAATTCTTTACAACTTTCAATCGTTCGTTCCGTTTCTCGTGCACACAATTATAAAATTTGTCCAAACGTATCTCCAATTTCCAAGTGAAATTTTATTTTTTTTCTTTTCTTCCTTTTTTCTTTTCGTCGAAACGCAAGAGCCATTAAATATCTATGGGGGGGCCACAGTGTCGGATATTGATTTTATGGTGACATCGACATGGCCGTCTAACAATGAGTTAAGAGGAGTAGAACCGAATAAAAGGAGAGAAAGAGAGAGAGATGTGGCCACGTTCAATACAATTCTCCGCCAATATTCATTCCAGAACAGCGTTCTATCTCGAAAGAGGTACAATAACCCCGGAAAATAAGTTTCACTTCCGGAGGAAGTCGTCCTTCGTTCCATTATCGTTGGCTTATCTTCTGAGTATTGAGTGTATCAGAAGTAGAAACCTTTCTTCTTCTTGAAAATAATAAGAAAAGATATTAAATATTAAATAGAACTTTGATGAAACAATTTTTCACGAGATTTTCGAGCAGGAAAATGGATCGATTCTTCTTCTTCTTCTTCTTCTTCATTTCTTTTTCTTCCCCTTTTTTCGAAATTAATTTTTTAATCTCGTGAAACAAAGGTGTTCTTCATTTTCTTCGTTACTTCATTTACTAGATATGTTATATTCATCCTATTCTGAATTTTTAAAACATTTTCGTCCCGGGGAGAAAAGAATTCCTCTTCGTTCTGCGAAACAATCCCATTCGCGTAACGTGAGAATGAATTAATTATATTTAATTTTTTTATTCGTAATTCAATATTTGATTATGAAATGATAAATTTCGTTTCATTCTTGTTTTCAACAAGAATTTATTTCGACCAGTGGTAACAAAGTTTCCCTTCAGTAATTGTGTTTCGTTGACTCGCCGGTACGAAGGTGGTAACGCGTTTTCGAAGGGGATGTTTCATCCCTCGTCGGTAAAGTAGAAATTCCTCGTTTTCCTGGAAATTCTTGGAAACGGAATAGAATATCGTATCCCAAGTCGATAACACGGTGTGCGACCGTTGATGAAGTTGCATCCCTTTTGTTTTTTTTTTTTTCTTTTTTACCAACAACCGCTTTTTTACATCGAGAGAATAATTAACCTCGTTACTCTGTCTCTCTTGTTGCAGCGAAAAAACAAAATGGGGCGGCATTGCGAACGAACAGTTTGGGCTCTGGGGCGCGGACACCACCCCTCGAGAGGAAAAGCAAGTTTTCAGCCCTCGGTAGACTCTTCAAACCCTGGAAATGGAAACGGAAAAAGAAATCGGATAAATTCGAGGCTGCCTCATTGTGTAAGTGATCTTACCTTTTTCTTTTCGCTATCGATCCGAATAGACTTTTTAAAAAAAAATAAGAAGCTAAAGAATGTGTTCGTGATGATTAATAAATCAAATGGCTTATCGATAAACCAGATTGTTTTTCGCGATTGCAGCGCTCGAGAGGAAAATCTCTGTACGAGCAAGCAGAGACGAGCTGGTACAGAAAGGAATCCTGTTGCCCGTCATAAGGTCCACGTCGTTTCCGGAAAATGGTGAGTTCCCTCGTATCACTCTTTATGGAAAACTTTCTGCAATATGAATGTCTCCTAAGACTCGTGCTAAAAACTCAACTTTTAAAACTCGATCTCGCAATTATCTTAAACTCCTCTTCAACCTCAACATTTCTACGTTTCCCTTATCTACTTTCGACGGGAGCATAAATCGGTTCCATAAAATCGAAATAACCGTGGAGAATAATCGCGAAAGTTTCCAATTTCGGGGAGGGGAATTGAATGGAGTTTTATCCGACATGGACGAATTCGCGAATTTCCGCGATGGGATCGTGTCTGGTCCAGTGGAAATTGTCCAGCCTCCGACTGATCAGGAAATAAGGGACCATGGTCTGCGGGTGGAAACGAGACGCGAGAATGACAAGACGAAGAACGTAATTAGATTTCGCGCCTCGTTATCGCACAGACGTGGGCTCAATTTCCGGAATCGTTGGACCGTGTGTGTTGTGTTTCGTTTCTCGAAAAAGAAGGAAGAAAAAAAAAAGAACATAATATAGATCCGTAGGAATTACTTTCAATCGGATCAATATTGGAAAATTTAAATTTAATTTTGCGTAATAAAAATGCCGTCGACGTTGTGCATTTGCTGTTGTTTTTACGATAAGAATGTCGTTTCTTTTCGAAGAATCGTAGATTTTCGAGTTGAAATTTTTTATTCGATTTTAAAATTCAATCTTACCGTGAGATGATAATGACACGGTCGTTCTTACCGACGAGAGTGATAAGATAAATATTAAAGAGTTAAACAGGAAGAAAATATAATTTTTGGCAAGACGATATATGCTTCCAATTATATGTGATAAAGATCACTATTATGCGGTCACGTAGAATTTAACTTGGAAATTAGATTATGCGAATTCATAATTCAATATATTTCACGTATCGTAATTTAACGTTTCAAAATTTCCTTCTTCTATTTTTATCGTATTTATATTTGTTCGGTAAATATAATAGAATTAAAGTCTCGTTAATGATAGAGTATAAAATAGAAATACAATCAGTCAATTGTTTCATGAATAACGTACAAGTCGATCCAGAGCGTGTCTCTCTCGTTCAACTGATTAATAGATCCTCGCCACCCGTCGTCACAATGTTCGACGAACGCTCGTGTTTTCTGTGGGAGAAGTTGAGACAGATATTGATTTTCTTCAACAGCTTTCAACATTATTCATATTTCCTCCTCTTTGGAAAGCATTCTGAATTCGAAACACTGTGCGCGCGTTCCACGAGTTGAATAGACCGAAATCTCTAATTAATTACCATCCCCGAATAGGAATTGTTCCCGATAAAATTAGCATGTCAGGGGCAGAAGCTTTTATACGACTAAACAGTTGCTAACAGAACGACTAGACTAGACACGTTAATGAATTATCGATTACGTTCCATATTAATCATCAATGTATACATACATCTCGTGATTGGGGGTGTGAAAAATGATCCTTTCATTCTTTCACAATACTTGTCGACCAATCGATTTTCAAGATAATTCAAAATTTCAACGATACAAAAGTACAAATTCGAAAGAATTCCACATCCACCTAATAAACATTCCACCTAAATTCTTCCTATCGATCATCCCTCACCTTACCACGCTCTCGCTCCATCAATCCATCACCACTATCCTCCTCGTCCAAAAGCAAACAGCAAACCGGCCCCATCTCCCAAACGCGACGCAACCCAAATAATTGAACTCTCTCTCTCTCTCTC